TTTTAAATGCCATTTTATAATATGTTTCTGCTCCACTATTTCTTAATGCCTTTCATTTTTGTAAAGCACTTTGAATGGCCTTGTGTTGAAAGGTGCTGTTAAATAAACGTGCCATGTTTTCAATGTGTGTATTTACTTGTGTCTGGAGCTCTGCTCGTGGCTGTGGCGGTGTCCTCGGCTGCGGGAGGTGGAGCGGCTGCGGTGCCGCCTCCTCCTCTCTCTGGAGCGGGAGCGCGAGCGCCGCTTCTCTCGTGACGTGGAGCGTGAGCGCTTCTTTTTGCGTTCACGTGAACGGGACCTAATGAGAAAAAAACAATTAAAGCACACACAGAGCAGACTAACGTTGGCAATAACTTAGGATTTGGCCCATTAAATCACATTTTCAGTGTGGATAAATGGAGCAACTTTCTTACCTTTTCGGCTCTCTGCTGCGTGATCTGGTCCTATGAAATAAGCAGATGAAAAACCATGAGTTTGAAAAGTAAAACATACATCAGGGTATATGCAGGAATCCTGAAGTCAGATGTAATTCCTTTTAAGACCTTTTTTAAGACCCTTTCCATACATTTTAAGACCTCATCGCCACTTGGAGTTTTAACCGGTTACCTTGGCGACACACTTTACCTCACATTGACTATATACAGTATTGATTGTCCTTCCTCGTTATCTTCCAACCATTTGGACGCAGAATTGCATTTCCCCATAACGATGTTGCTTAGCAACCGGCGTAAACGGACCTTCGCGCGCTATCAAGCAGTGAGCGTGCGATGTCCTGTTCAGATGACGTCAAATCCAACGGGATGCCATAAATAAACTACACAGAATCACACTACACACCTACGCAATGATTACATTCAGGCAGACTGTAGAATACAACCTCTTTGGACCATTTATATACTTTTTGAACACAAGCTACAAAATGTAATACCTTGGAAAATGCCGTTTAATACTTTTTAATAGCCTTCATTTTCACTAAATTGATTTATCAACTTTGAATACTTTTTAAGACCCCGCGGACCCCCTGCATACAACAAATGAACTTCCATAAATGTCACTCTGGTTTTAAAAGCACTCACGTCTTCTTCATCTTCTCCTCTTTCTCTCTCTCTTCTCGTCTCTTCAGGCGCTCCTGGTTCCTTGTCTCCTGCTTCTCGACCACGGTTTTCTGATCAAATAAAAAAAGTAGTAACATTAGAAGTGACACCAATTGTTTTAAACCTCAAGACAGTTTATGACCCATATTTTTTTTATTGTTCTTAATAACCAGCCCGATGATTCCGGACTCTTGTGCCCATGCGTTTCTAGTGCACACGGTATAACAGGCTGAAGCATACCTTTAGTTGGTCCAGTTTCTCTCTGATCTGGATGAAGCCCAGATGAAGCTTCCCACCAAAATGGTCGGCCAAACGACGATCGTTGTCATGGAGACCCAAGTAAGCGGAGCACACCTCGCACACCCGGAGCTTCTGCTGCTGGAAGCTAGAGGCTGGCATGGAGTTTCTGTACTCTTCCTGAGGAGAACCAAATGGAGAAGAGACGCATTAAAAAAGGATGAGAAGGCGGGAGTTACTAATATAAAGATTATCAGAACATCTTCAGTGGCTCGTCACCAGCACTCCCTCCTCACCTCTGCATCCTTCTTCTTAGTTCGGACCTTCTCCACTTCCTGCAGGACTTTCTGAGCCTCGTCCACGTTCCCCTCGGCTCCGAGCTGCTCGGCCTTGGCCAGGAGCTTCCCTATTTCCTCATTCAGCTCATGGACCTTCTCTGCCTGAAACACAGCAAACATCACAATTTAAATCCCATTTGTCCATCCCAAAACAAACTGGTGAAGAAACCTAGAAGCAGCATTAAAAAGTGACTGATCTAAATAACGCCTTCAAATAGTCCTTTTCCATATCAATTTAACTTATGGCGCATTTCCACTACACGGCCTCGCTCGGTGTGGCTAAGCCTCGTTAGGACTGGCTCACTTTATGGCGCATTTCCATTACAGTTTAGGAACTGGGGTAGTATCTATAGTAACGCAGTGTAGGCGGAGCCGTGACGTCATCTTCAATGAGAGCGCCAGAAAAACAACACAGCCGTTAGCTGTTAGCACTCAGAGCTCACAGCTCCTCATATCTGTTCAGAAACTAGACAAAAGTCGTGGCGAATACAGTCGCTGGTTTATTTATGTCTGTATAGGCCGTTGTTGTGAGTGTGGACGGTCGGAGCATATACAACGTTAGCTTAGCCAATCTCCATTTAGACAACGCGCATTTTAAAAAGGTTTTTCGCCTGCCGTCTGTCTGCAGACTGGTCAAAGCATTAATTCATGGTCTTTACTAACCGGTATCAGTATGTTGTTACTTCGGCAACATTTTGAAACGTGCATTACAATTAAATCACGGTCAAATATGTTCATCTTGTTGTAGTTGTAGCCCCCTTGACAGCGATTCTCTCTCTAGTTTAGCATACTCAGCCCGACTCAGACTGGTTGTTCCTGGCCCTAGAACCACAATTTTATGGGGGACCCGCTAACCGCTAACCCGGCGTTCTTTGGGGCAAAGTAGGCCAGCACGGTTACCGGACGGCAACCTACAGGACTGTCTCAGAAAATTAGAATATTGTGATAAAGTTCTTTATTTTCTGTAATGCAATTAAAAAAAACAAAAATGTCATACATTCTGGATTCATTACAAATCAACTGAAATATTGCAAGCCTTTT